CAACATGRTGTCTTAGCCAATTAACTGTTTAATCTTGAAAGASTTTGCAGGAAACAGTGTGTGAAATGGTTAAGTGCTGCTCTTGTCTATCATCATATGAAATAAGACATARAATAGCAAGCCCTTGGGGCTTTTATCAGTTGCGTTTAGTGGTTGCATTGCTGCTGTGTCTGGGTATATATWTGGCTAAATTAGCAAATAAAGTGTTGGGTGTGGTGAAGGAGATGAGTGCCCACTCTCAGCACCCAGCAAGCCTTGTAGCAAACCCGGGAGAGCAGAGTTCTGCTGGAGCCCTGCAGTGGAGTGACTGTGGGAGAAAGGCTGAGCGTGTGCCTGATCATCCTGCAGAGAGGCTGCTGATCCACACCATGGCTTCAGGCAGATCATCAGCATCGCTGCTGGCACTTTGGCCAGCACAATTTGTCCAGGACCACAGAACCATTACATTTGGAAGAGACTTGTAAGGTCACAGAGTGCAAAGACAGCTTCAAACTGCCAAGTTCACCACCCAACCATGTCACCAAGTACTGCAGCTACAGGTCTTTTAAATGCCTTCAGGGATGGGGACTCCACTGCTTCCCTGGGCAGCCTCAATGTCCTTCTTTTACTGAGGGAGCCAGAACTGGACCCAGGATTCGAGGTGTGGCTTACTGGTGCTGAGTGCGAGGATAATCACAGCCCTGGTCCTGCTGGCCCTGCTATTGCTGATCCAGGCCAGGATGTCTTGGCCCTCTTGGCCACCTGGGCACACACTGGTACRTTCAGCTGCCTGTTGASCAGCACCCCCAGGTCCTTTTCCACTGGGCTTTCCAGACACTTATTTTTCCAAGACTTCAGCACTGCATGGGGCTAAAAGACTTTAGATATGATCTTAAATATATTTTCTAACCTAAATAATTCTATGATCATGGAAATTGCAAATTGCGCTAAGTGCGGCAGTTTGGTCTGGATCAGAGCTCCTTTCCAGGGGGAATGCTGCACAGGGCTAATTTCCTAGCTACAGGCAGGATCTAGATCCTCTTGAATATGGGATAGGGAATGGTTTATGGCAGTATTTAGGCACTGTATTGTTGCTGTATGTAATATCAGATTGAGACTTTGCAAATGTCACTGTTGTTATGAATGCCTCTGAACAGATGTGTACACTTGTTACCCAGACCTCTGGAGTACAGTTCTTACGAATGCCTCAAAAGAGCAATGGCGACACAGTCATATGAATTCTTAGTATCTTCTACCTTAAAAATCATTTAGTGCTATCTAGATTTCGCATTTTTCCTGTAGCATCTCATTTTTCCTACTTACAAATATTGGACCTCAAAATAAACCATCAGTGGCTCCTCTTGGATCACATATTAGACTCTTGTCTTTCAGTCAGTGATCTAAAATTCACTGCTCAGAGGTCTGCAAATAAAACAAAACTTAGAATGAATTGATGAAAACCTTGTCTTAAAACATTGATACTTTGCTAAAGTGATGTGGCAGATTCTCAAATAGTGTATGTAAAGGGATTGGTTCACTCATTTGTTAGAAAAGAAAAATGACAAATTGGCTTTTTTCCACGAGTGGTCTATTTAATCGCTATGATGTTGCTACTGCATTAGGTTTTATTTCCATTATATTTTTGTGTTTGCAACATTCACGTACTGTAACAAGAGCATGGTTATGATTTTCCTGCACGGAAGGTCAGCGGTGATGAGGGAAAGAGGCAGTTAGATATTACTCATTATGTCAGATCAAAGGTTGGCCYTCAGCGAGCACTCAGATATCAGATGACTGTGTTACACAGCCACAGAGCAGCACAGAAAACCTCTTCCTTCCCAAGTGAARCGCAGCCCCATGTTGACAGATCAGTTTGAATGTTTTCTTTGAATAAATGTCAGCGACAGTTGCATACTTTTGTTTCATTTATGCCTAAAGATTTGTCTCTCTGCTCTAAATTGTCTTCTCAAATTACTCCAATACCACACAAGATATTAAACGCTCTCTAAAGTATTCTGGGCACTGTTGCAGAGRAGATTCAATCAGAGTGAGAAGCAACATAACATTTATCACGGAAGTCTGTTATTTTATTTGAGTCCAGACCTCATTTTGAGTTACCCATTGAGAACTTTATATGACATGCATTTATTCATAACACAACTCTGTATTTACACAATTTAYGCATCTGTACATTTTCATCATTTCTGCTGAATGCTTTTTCACAAATCACACTGCAGTTGAWGCAGTTGCCCAGGCTTGGCGGAGCATGTTTAGATTTTGGGGAAGGACAGAGATTTCCTATTTGGTGTCTGTGGACTTGCCATATAGTGGAGGTTTGTAAAACATGATAGCCAAATATTYCTACCTTTAATTTGCTTAGATTCARTTCCACATGCTGCTTCTCTCCTRTGTCAYCCAGTTGTTTTGTGCAGTTTATGCAGCTTGTGTTTCTAAATCTTT